CCCAGTATTCGGAGTCTAGAAAACAAACGTTCCGATTCAGCGCTGGTAACGAGCATGGTGGCCAGGATTGGCAGCAGGCGGGTTACATCAGGATACAAAGCCTCTGGGCAAATGCAAGTTGCCTGTACCGCCGAGACGCGCTACGCGGTGCGGTGCCTCCACATCTGTGTCAAAACCAGTACTTCCCCTGCGCGGATCACATTTTTTCAGAAAATATCGTTGTATGGTCATGTTTTAGGCTATTTCCGTTCTTCCACGAGAAAGTGGAAGAAAAAAATACCAGTTTCTATCATTTGTGGGGTCTAAACATTTAGTGGAAGCCGTCGTCGGTCGATAGAAAGAAGTGAGAGTACCCTTTCGGTGCCGATTTGCATATTTCGGTGAATGTTCAAAAGCGCAGCCCCTATTAGAGGCGAGATGTTTTGGTGGCGCCCTCCTATGGTTTCCTCTCGTGACGTCATTACCTTACGGACAACAAGTTCGACGGTGTTTATAATTAGCATGGTGGAAGCTATTGCGCTAAGCAGGCGGGTTAAGCTAAGCAGGAGGGTTACATTAGGATACAAAGCCTCTAGGCAAATGCAAGTTGCCTGTACCGCCGAGACGCGCTACGCGGTGCGGTCCCTCCACATCTGTGTCAAAACCAGTACTTCCCCAGGAAGTGCATTTAACAAAACGAATGCTCCGCACAGGCCGCCGATTTGATCGAAGTCGAGGCTTGCGACATAGAGACCGACGTCGTTGGCCACAACATCGCTCTCGCCTAGGGCGGACGATGCTGCCTGACGTGAATGTGCCGACTCTAGCTGTTGGAGACGGTGATGACACGCTTAAAGTTGTAGGTCAATAATCATTCTTAAAAAAAAGAAACAAAAAAAAAAAAAAACGTCAAGAACGGCTTGGCTTTTGAACTCATTTTTGAAAAAGTTCCACGACTCACGTGCTGAACGCAAGCATGTAAACATTACCCACTTCGGCGATTAAAGAAGTCAACTCGATACGCTTTCAAACCAAGTGATTATGAGCATTACAAATATGCTTCAACAGTGCATATGCTGTCGCTTTTCTCTGTTGCTTCTTTTTTTTTTTTTAACGATGGGGATGTTTGTGCGTGTGTGTTTTTTGCATTTTTGTGCCATATTGAAGCTAAATAAGCGCAGGCGACTGAACCCTAAAAAATAAAAAAGACGGAGCAAAAAAAGAAAAAAAAAAAAAAACGCTTAGCTGTTTGTTATTTTGTCGTCCGGTTTTCTCCGCATTGTAGGGTTCGTAAAGTCAAATCATTGCTATTTTGGAATTTTGTTGTGCTGCCCTGAGATTGTCGTCGAGTCCTTGACACTCAAAGGGTAGGGGAACTTTAGTTAAGCCGCCTGCATTCCCCGAAGCGAGGCCAGCGTCTTTCGAGGTCAGGATTTCGCGGCTTTTATGACGTCGGGAGCTAAGCCATTCGCACCTGCGAGCCTGACGAAAGGCTTCGGTTACAAACGTGGCCGAGTTTGGAGAGGGCTGTTCGAAGAGCCGGAGCCGGAGATGTGTTTTTCAAGGCAGTCCACGGACAGCCTCGTCTTTTTCGTTTTGCTTCGGTATGTTGTGGGCATGCACCGCCCCTCGCCGTAGTGGATTGTCGAAACGAAACACACACACAAAAAATACTGACATTGGAAAAGCGGAAGGGGTAAAGGGGGACAACCATGAAACTTCGGCGGTGTTCCGACCCTTCAACACCCAACACCCCGTCCCCTGGCTACGCCGCTGGTGTGCAAATATGTTCGTGTTTTCCAAATAAAATTGAGCTGCCGGTAGCCGCTCTGAGTTTGCACTACTACTTCTTTCAGTTAGGTTGTTTGTTTTTTCTGGCGCTTCTAAGTATACGTTTACTGCAGCTGACGTCACTTCCGGCTAAACTGTAGGTCAAAACCAACATTGTCGTCTACTATCAGTGCCTTGTCACCATGTTGGAGGCAAAAAATGTTCTTCTCCTGACACGAAGTGCAGTCCATAAACCCCTAGTTAGGGTACGAAGCTTTTCTATCAAGATCATAAGTCTACATAATAATCTAAAGCGAAAGTCCCATGCGTTTGGCCGCGACGGGAGGGCGATGCATAGACGCGGACATCGGCGGCCTCATTTGGTGGTCCCTATAGACGCTTTCAGGCACCTGTGCATAGGCGCCGCCATAGCCGACTTTCAGTTTTTGTCTCCTCTTATTCCGTTCGCTTCACTTCATCATTGCCACATCAGGAGAGGTTATTGCCATTTTAGGTGCTATTGTGTCCGTGTGCCTAGCATAGGACTTTGTGGAGTTTCGCCAACCTCCGCTTCAGTGGCTCGGCATCTCGGTAAAACAAGAGAAGGTCGGCTATGGCGGTTCAATCTGGCGCTTGCTGAAAGCGTCTATAAGCTCGTATCGCTGGCGACGCATATGCACAAAGGAGCAGCAAAAAACCACCTTAAATTCTGCACTTTTTTTTTAATTAGCAGAAAAAACATTTGAATTGCGCGTTGACAAAATTAAGTAAAGGTAGGCTGTATCAAATCACTTATTAAAATATCCTTGCCCATCTTCCCCCCCCCCCCCCAAAAAAAAGAAGCGGCTAGGGAAAAAAAAAAAAAAAACCTTCCCCGGAAAAAGAAAAACACAACAACAAAAATCTGCGCCGAGCAGCGTCGAAAATGCGCCGACCCCATAGCGGCGCCATCTGTTGACAGCCCGTGATATCGCAAGGAGAAACTAACTCTAGCTACAGTTACTCTGGAGTTCAAGTGAGGGTTAAGGGAGAGTATCATCGAAAGAAGCGGTCGCGAAAGAGTAACTTGGGTGAAGATAGGGTTAAAGGAGGGTAACTTAGGGCAGTTACTCTCCCTTGACACCTTTTTTTTTTAGAGAGTGTGAAAACAGTTTCGCAAATTGAAATGGCATTTCATCTAGCGAACGGCAGCTTGTTTCGTAACCCTTTTGAACCACGGGTACAGAGGCTGCTCTATTTCATGCAGGAACGCTGCTGCACAAGACATTCAACGCTCCGCGACGCGAAGAAGCTCCAGTTGCAGCTGGTGATGCTGCTGTGCCCTGCCATGGTAGCCACCTTGCCACGGACGACCTGCCTGTAACCTGTACACCTTGCAGAGAGTTCTACTCAAACTATGTTGCCATCAGTCCAGCAGCTGCGGCAGCCCTGGAAGAATCCACAAGGAGCCAGCAGACACCGATGTGGTTCTTGGCACGGCGGCTGCGACTAACCGCATCAAACGCAAACAAAGTTCCCAAAACAGAAAAAACTTCCTGCGAGAATGCAGTGAAAACTATCCTGTGCCCAACACTCACAGGGAACGCTGCAACCAGGCATGGACAAATACACGAGCCAGTGGCACGGGCCCAGTTTACTCGGGATCATGGAGCGAATGTATCGCAGTGCGGCATGTTTGTGTGCAAGGAGTTGCCATGGCTCTCGGCAACACCGGACGGTGTGATTGGATAGGCCCTGTTGGAAACCAAGTGTCCAAATACAGATAACTGTAAGGAGATGATGAAGAGTGCGAAGAGCAGGTACGATGTACGAGAGAGATCACAGAAGCCCTCCCAGCACTCGCTTGACGACGACGAGGAGTACTTCTTTGCCAACAACCAGTACTTCAAGACGGACAACAAGAAGTACTACCTGGCAGAGAAGGGGCCCAAAGGCTACTATTGTCAAGTGCAATTTCAAATGTTTTGCACCGGTCAGCGACTTTGTTTTTTTGTTTGTGGACCCTTCACGCCCAGATTCTTCTGGGGATAGCATTCAATGAGGGGTATGTCTACAAAATAATGCCAAGGCTTAGGAACTTTTACTTTCGTGAGCTCCTGCCAAGGATTGAGGAACTCCACCGCCGGGAAGAGCTGGAAATTTCCGACGCATACAAGAAGTTATGTGGTCGTTAGTCATTGAGTGCGACTGGAACCCCGCTGCACGGGACAAATCCCAAGAATAAACGACGAGACTTCTATCACCCTCTAATCCAGTTGTCTACCGATGAATGGGGAATGTAAGCTAGGAGATAACTGTGGGATAAGACGACTGGAACCCCGCTGCACGAGACAAATCCCAAGAATAAACGACGAGACTTCTATCACTCTCTAATCCAGTTGTCTACCGATGAATGGGGAATGTAAGCTAGGAGATAACTGTGGGATGGGACACTGTCCACATTGTGGACACGACATGAGCAATCAAAACCAATGTAGAGAATTTCACAGCCCCAACAGGTTTATGTAAAAGCTTGGCAGCAGCATGTAACTCAAACAGAACAAAGCAGAGGAAAGACACCAGGTTGAATAAGGACCTTAAACATTGAACGAAGACAAGATTCAAGCATAAAGTAAAAAAACATGTTAACTAACTACACACATCCCAAGACAACAAGTGTGCTTAAATTCCATTCACAGTTTCCCTCACTGTTCTGTCGCAATGCATGCAAAATTTTGCTCCGAGGCAAGGTGCTGCAGTTCTGCCTCGGACCCTTCAATGCTAGGCCAGGTATCCGCAGACCAATACGGACAATACGGCGTGTAAACAATATTTTGATTGTGTGCGAGGGTACCCCTAGCTGGTTTAAATTAATCCATAATCCTTTGCTGAGGCTTGCTGGATGCCATTCATTGGTTTTGTATGTAAACCCTCAAATTAACACTGACAGGTTCAATTACACTGATTGAACTATATTTAAGCATCACCTGAATGCAATGATATTTGGGAGAATTTCCACTTCGAGTTGGGTTGTATAAAAACATCGGAAGCAGTCACAACGTAAACTTTAAAGAAGCTTCCAAATATCTCTTCTATTAGCAAAGACAGTAGACCGATCTCACCAAGTGTTCGACGCATGTGTCACGCTGCCATAACTTTAGTTCACAGGAGGCAAACGGAATTGCACGAAAGGGCTTGTGTCGTCTCATGCTTAACACGCGCAGAGCTCCAACAAGGTTGTTGCACATGCAGAAAGACTAAAGTTCCCTCGATGCATTGCGGCAGTGGTGGCGTAGTCAAACTGGCTGGTGGGATCGGTCTATTGCAATAAGAAAAAAAAGCTCATTCTCAGTCTTCTGGTGTATTGCAGTGCATCACGGCAGTACATCAGAGTCGTTTGTCTCATTGTCCCTAATCAGAAGCGGCTTCAAGTTGCACAGTCCTGCAATCACAAAGATCATGAGACTGATTGTCTTCTTAGATCTGATAGGCAAAGACTGTTTAAAAATTCTGTAAGTCTTCATCCTGTTGATGGCCCGCTCCACATGGATCCGGACAGCTGCGATCCGTCTTGTCATTGTTACGTCCCGCTCACTGAGTTGTGCTTTACCTGGGAAAAAAAATAAAAACCTGAGTAAGACGCGAGACATGTCGATATCGAACCCAATACCTTTTGTGAAAGCAGGCACGTTGAGCTTTATGCCCTGGACCTCCAGCTCGGGCTCCAGCGTAAAGCCACGGTCAGCCATGACCTCGTCGCCCCGAACAAGGTAGTCATTGATGCCGCATTCGCGCATGATGAGTTTATCAGAGGCACGGCCTCCGTAAGCGTCGGAGACGTGCATGATGTACCCATTCGGAGCAATGGCCACAAGAAACTTCACAGTATTGTGTGCCTTGTAGCTGCTGTAGGTCTGCGCCCGAGGCATGAGCTTCCTGGGCCGCTGCAAATGCACCTCAGTACAATCAATGATGCAGGTAGTTCTGCCATTACCGTTTTCGATGAATGACAGTGGCATGCTGCTACGGATAGTACTCCTTGGCAGCCAAAGTACAATCGACTCCATGACTGTCTTCAGTCGTCCCAGCATCGCCTTTACGACGTTGCCGACACTTGACACAGAAATAAGAAAGATCCTTGAAAGGTGGCCGTACAAAAGTCCGAGGCGAAGCCTCATAAGGCAAAGCAGCAGCTGATCTTTTATCAAAAGCTGGCCAACTTTCGCACCCAAAGCAGTGACGGCACCTGCCAAGCTCTCAAAAACTGCTCCTGACACGCCGGTGTAGAAAATGATGTCACTTTCGGAAAGTCCGTTTGTCATGGAGTGCCGAGGGAAGCCGGCTGGAGGTACTGGTCGACTGTACGAATGTTCCTCCTGGAAGCGCTCCCACTGAGTGCCTTGATCTTTTCGTGTGATCTAAAGTGTGACCAGAAGTACCAGAAGACATTATCAGTAGGCTTTTTAAGTCTAATCAGTCAAACCGCATTAAAACAATACTGAACCCTTTAATGCCGAAATTAATTTTCAGTCGGGTTAATTATCTTTTCCAGGAAACATGCTTAACGTACCCCCCCAAGTATACTAGATGCATCAAAGATTGTCACAGGGTCTTTTTTTGTAAAAAAAAAATGGTATGTCACGAATTCGCAATACTAACAGAACTCGACTGGTAGAATGATGTCTAAGGGTTAACTGAAAAGACTGATAAAGCTTCACTGCTAAAAGAAAATGCACAAGCTGGACTATTATGTTCAACATGCTCTAGTCGGGAATAAGAGGGATTGCTTTTGGCTGACAGGTTACTGCATCAGATGACCCAATATGAATAGATTTAAAACTAAGCACACAAAATTTCCTCACCTGCATCGCAGAGGGTCTGTAAGGTTGGTCGCAGCCACTGGTCGATGAATCAGCCAGCTGTAAAACACGAGTTGTGCATCCTTGTCTGCTCCCATCTCGACTGCATGCAATGATCAATAGTCGTACAAGCAAACACGAAATCTTTCTTTACCTGTGTCGCACCTGACAAGGCAGCTTGGTCGCACGTCGAAGTGTCATTCGACTAAACGATACACATAATCATTAACACGATACCTCTTGCCAACGCTGCGCATGGCTGGCAGCCTCAAAATTAGCTTACCACATCTGTGGCCAGGGCAGGGAGGCTGCCAGTCTCTGTCGCACCTGAGGGCTGCAGAAAAACATGTTGTGGCATCTTCTGCTACGCTTTCGACTGCATGCAGTGATCAATAGTCATGAAAGTAAACACTAAATCTTCCTTTACCTGTGTCGCACCTGCTGTGGCAGCGTGGCTGCACGTTAAGTGTCCTCAGACTAAAAAAATGCACATCGTAATCATAAACACGACACCTCTTGCCATTGCTGCACATGGCTGGCAGCCTCAAAATGAGCTTACCACATCTGTGGCCAGGGCAGGGAGACTGCCAGTCTCTGTCAGACCTGGGGGCTGGAGAAAAACAGGTCGTGGTATTTTCTGCCACGCTCTCGACTGCATGCAGCGATCAATAGTCATGAAAGTAAACACTAAATCTTTCTTCACCTGTGTCGCGCCCGCCGTGGCAGCTTGGCCGCACGTCGAAGTGTCCTCAGACTAAAAACAATACACATTGTAATCATTAACAAGGTACCTCTTGCCATTGCTGCACATGGCTGGCAATCTCAAAATGAGCTTACGAGATTTGTGGCCAGGGCAGGGAGGCGCAAGTCTCTGTCAGATCCGGGGGCTGGAGAAAAACAGGTTATGGCATTTTCTGCTACGCTCTCGACTGCATGCAGGGATAAATACAGTAAAACCTCGTTAATTCAACCCCCGCTAATTCGGAAATTCTGATAATTTGAACTGCCAATCCGGTCCCGTCAAACGTACGTACAGTAAAACCTCGTTAATTCGGATCTCATGGGACCGGCAAAAATGTCCGAATTATCCGAAAGTTGAAATGTCGAAAGAACAAAGAAAACAGCGCGAAAATGTTTCCCTGTGACATACCTTTATTTTGAGAAGAAATCTGTTATTACCGCCTGCTTTCTGGACGATACTTGGGCGGAGACGGCAACTTTCCTTAGCGCGGTCGAGTGCTCCACCCCACTTGCACTGTCGGAGCTATGCATCCCGTGCGCGGACAATATTGCACAGCAAGGCCTCTTCTAGTTTCGGGTGCACCACCTTCCAAGGCCGCGTTCTTTTCGCGTTGAACTTCTTGCTCTCGATATTGGCCTCAATTTTCACAAATGTGGCCAAACTGCTTCTCTTGACGTCGTAACTTTCTATCACTTGTTGTCGAGAGACGCTGTCCCTCAAGGCCCTCAGTGTTTCCACTTTCGTCGCTAAATTCTTAGCCTAGTACAGCGGCAATGGAAAACGAGTAGCACAACTGACCGATGATCGGAGCGGCGAAATCGCGACACCCGGCGCTATTTTTCCCGTCGCGCCGATAGCGAGAGTGACAGTCACGTTTTATGCCTCAACGCGGGGATCCTAAAGCCCGCCATTTTAACAGCTATCTTATCCCTCAATTTTTCGCCGGCCACCCCTGCGTTGAAAGTTGCCACGTGACTGGCACTCTCGCTATCGGCGCGACGGGAAAAATAGCGCCGGGTGTCGCGATTTTGCCGCTCCGATCGTCGGTCAGTTGTGCTACTCGTTTTCCATTGCCGCTGCACTAGGCTAAGAATTTAGCGACGAAAGTGGAAACACTGAGGGCCTTAAGGGACAGCGTCTCTCGACAACAAGTGATGGAAAGTTACGACGTCAAGAGAAGCAGTTTGGCCACATTTGTGAAAATTTAGGCCAATATCGACAGCAAGAAGTTCAACGCGAAAAGAACGCGGCCTTGGAAGGTTGCCCGAAACTAGAAGAGGCCTTGCTGTGCTATATTGTCCGCGCACGGGATGCGTAGCTCCGACAGTGCAAGTGCGGTGGAGCAGTCGACCGCGCTAAGGAAAGTTGCCGTGTCCGCCCAAGTATCGTCCAGAAAGAAGGTGGTAATAACAGATTTCTTCTCAAAATAAAGGTATGTCACAGGGAAACATTTTTGCACTGTTTTCTTTCTTCTTTCGATATTTCAACTTTCGGATGATTCGGACATTTTTGCCGGTCCCATGAGATCCGAATTAACGAGGTTTTACTGTAGTCATGAAAGTAAACACGAAATCTTCCTTTACCTGTGTCGCGCCAGCCGTGGCAGCTTGGCCGCACGTCGTAGTGTCCTCAGACTAAAAACAATACACATCGTAATCATTAACATGATACCTCTTGCCATTGCTGCGCATGGCTGGCAGTCTCATAATGAGCTTACCACATCTGTGGCCAGGGCACGGAGCTCTGCCAATCTCTGTCAGACCTCGGGGCTGAAGAAAACCAGGTCGTGGCATTTTCTGCTACGCTCTCGACTGCATGCAGCAATCAATAGTCATGAAAGTAAACACTAAATCTTTCTTCACCTGTGTCGTGCCTGCCGTGGCAGCTTGGCCGCAAGTCGAAGTGTCCTCAGACTAAAAGAATACACATCATAATCATTAATACGACACCTCTTGCCATTGCTGCGCATGGCTGGCAGCCTCAAAATGAGCTTACCACATCTGTGGCCAGGGCAGGGAGACTGCCAGTCTCTGTCAGACCTGGGGGCTGGAGAAAAACAGGTTACGGCATTTTCTGCTACGTCCTCGACTGCATGCAGCAATCAATAGTCATGAAAGTAAACACTAAATCTTTCTTTACCTGTGTCGTGCCTGCCGTGGCAGCTTGGCGGCACGTCGAAGTGTCCTCAGACTAAAAGAATACACATCATAATCATTAATACGACTCCTCTTGCCATTTCTGCGCATGGCTGGCAGCCTCAAAACGAGCTTACCACATCTGTGGCCAGGGCAGGGAGACTGCCAGTCTCTGTCAGACCTGGGGGCTGGAGAAAAACAGGTTACGGCATTTTCTGCTACGTCCTCGACTGCATGCAGCAATCAATAGTCATGAAAGTAAACACTAAATCTTTCTTTACCTGTGTCGTGCCTGCCGTGGCAGCTTGGCGGCACGTCGAAGTGTCCTCAGACTAAAAGAATACACATCATAATCATTAATACGACTCCTCTTGCCATTTCTGCGCATGGCTGGCAGCCTCAAAACGAGCTTACCACATCTGTGGCCAGGGCAGGGAGACTGCCAGTCTCTGTCAGACCTGGGGGCTGGAGAAAAACAGGTTATGGCATTTTCTGCTGCGTTCTCAACTGCATGCAGCGATCAATAGTCATGAAAGTAAACACGAAATCTTTCTTTACTTGTGTCGCGCCTGCCATGGCAGCTTGGCCGCACGTCGAAGTGTCCTCAAACTAAAAACAATACACATCGTAATCATTAATACGACTCCTCTTGCCATTGCTGCGCATGGCTGGCAGCCTCAAAATGAGCTTACCACATCTGTGGCCAGAGCAGGGAGACTGCCAGTCTCTGTCAGACCTGGGGGCTGGAGAAAAACAGGTCATGGCATTTTCTGCTACGTTCTCGACTGCATGCAGCGATCAATAGTCATGAAAGTAAACACGAAATCTTTCTTTACCTGTGTCGCGCCTGCCATGGCAGCGTGGCTGCACGTTGAAGTGTCCTCAAACTAAAAATAATACACATCGTAATCATTAATACGACTCCTCTTGCCATTGCTGCGCATGGCTGGCAGCCTCAAAATGAGCTTACCAGATCTGTGGCCAGGGCAGGGAGGCTGCCAGTTTCTCTCAGACCTGGGGGCTGGAGAAAAACACATAGCATTTTCTGCTATGCTCTCGACTGCATGCAGTGATCAATAGTCATGAAAGTAAACACGAAATATTCCTTTACCTGCATCGCACCTGCCGTGGCAGCTTGGCCGCTAGTCGAAGTGTCAGACTAAAAAATATGTGTTGTAATTATTAACACGATACCTCTTGCCAACGCTGCGCATGGCTGGCAGCTTTGCACATTAAAAGGGTAAAAGAGCTAAAAACAACGGACCAGTGAAAGAGAGGCCAACACAATGCACTTAGCACATCTGTGGCATCGGCAGGAAGACTGGTTGTACCATAGCATTAATACAGCAACTGCAACATGTCATAGATAGAGGCCAACAACAAGGATTTTGTCAATGTTCGAGAAGATATCTGGTTGCATGACAAGGGTGTTTGTAACCTGGACAAATGCAATGATTGGTCCATCATTCCATTTTAGTGAAACAATGCAATAAATAGGCAGGAGGTGCTGATATGAGCAATTAAAATTAATTGAACTGCCATGTTGGCGGGAAGATAATGTGATATGTTAATAAGATTCTTAAAATTGTGTGCTATTGCCTTATGATCTCCATTAGCAGGACGGATGTAAGGTGCTTTTTCAAGCGTTCACCTGTGTATTGTTGTCATGGGCACCATCGGGGGCTTTCTTTTTCTGTAACATAAATGTACAAGGTGTTACGAGCAGTTCTAAGTTTTCATATCAGAGTCACCTTTTTTTCTGGAGGTGGGTGCCCTTCCTGACGGCACAGACGTCGCCGTCCAAAAACCACCTGTAGAAAAATATTTGTTAACGCTGCAGTGCAATGAAATGCAATAAGTGAATACGCGCCGACACCCGCTTTGCCCGGCGTGCCCTGTAATAGCCGGCAAAAACGCCGTGCACGATGCGCCAAGGAGGTGTAGCACGGTATGGCTCCTCGCGGGTGTTGATCTTCCGACATGGATCTTGAACCATAGAGGCGAGCGCGAGCTTGAAAATAAAAATGTAGTCTAGAGTGCCGTCTGACAGCCCTCGTGCAGAGCGTTCAAATGACGGCAGTCAAGTCAATCAGAGCATTGAGAAACAGAAAATCAAAGGAAGTGTTTCTGGACCATTTTGCCCAAAATGACGGTACCCCCACTCGCGCCTTCAAAAGCCGCCCGAAAAGCAGGTTTTACGAAGTTGCAGCATAGCTCAGAGGAAAGGGGTCCGCTTCATCCGCAGCGGGCGCAGTTTCTTCTTTTTTTAATTTTTAAAAGGTCGTCGAAATTTGGTTGAGTCTACTGGTACTTTTTCCCGGTTGCCGGTTGGACGCCGCGTGTACGACGCGGCAAAGTTGATTAATAGTTTTGTAATTAGCAGCCGCAGACTGTCGCCGCGAAGCGACGTGAAAGCAGGCGAGGGGTAGGACGCGCCGTCCGATTTTCTTTCGGACGGCCATTGGCGCGAGTGGGCGAGTGGAGTGTCGTCGGACGGCACTCTTAGGTCACACAGCCAATACGAAAAGGCAAATGAAAAGGAGATTCGTGCTCCGTGTCATTCTGACGACTTTAAAATAGAATGCTGCTGGACAAAGATGAAGCATCTAGGAGCAAAGGGTCAAACAAAACGCACGAACTTTTCGATTGTATCCGAGGGCGAGCATCGGCGACGGGTTCTCGGTCGTCCACATACCGTCCACGAAATGGCGAGAGCATACACGAGAAGACTCGGACGGTGAAAACCCCTTTCGGTTAACGGCACTTAACCACTGCCGACGCAAATCACCGTCCGCAGGAAATCGGTGAAGTAAAAACATGTTGCAACCACATTCTCTCTGCTGAACGTTGTGCTGCACGCACAGGCTGTCAGCAGCGAGTTTTCGTTTACGCTGGTTGTTGTTGCAGTCATAGATGACGCAGTGCTGCCCAGACGAACCCGGGTGAGAATACGCCATAAAAAGTTACGACCAAGAGCTCCTAAAAGACCAAAAAACAATATCCAATGTAG